TATTTCCAGAGCCAGGCCTGGGGCCTGACACCCAGTAGGAATGCAATAAATGCCTGTTGAATAAATGCCTCACTGAACACTGAACATCAGCATAAAAATATGAATAAAACACCACATAATTATAGAAAAACTGCCCCCAGTGAGTTCGATGTGATTAGAAGAGAAAAACAAGCAGAAATGATAGGGGAATTTGAAAGAGCAGCCGATGAAAGTCAAGACACACACATTCTGACCTCAACTCTGGGCAAAACCCTGCAGCCCCAGTTTGTGAAATGAAAGGACAGATCCAGGCATTAGAGGAAGCAGAGATCAGGGAGGTGAGACACACTCGGTTTCGACAGTTTTGCTAAATGATGTCTTTGTTAGTGTCATTATCGGCACAGATAAGAAACGTAAATTTTAATCCTGATGAGGGAAAAGAGAGTCCCAGGGATCAGAATGTCATCACCTTGATTTGCTGAGGATTTTCAATTAGCCCAGACCTAAGAAGCCCTGCGAGGGATGCAGGCAATGCCCAGGCAAGGAATTTACCCTCTGTCCATGAATGGCAACAGAAACCAACAGGAACATCCAGTGATTTATGAAAATGCTGTGGTTTAAAATTCATTAAGTGGTATTTCACTGTGATAGGATAAGGAGCTAAGAGAAGAGGCAGAGAAGACTTTAATTGTAGAAGCCAGAGTACAAATGAAAAATGAAAAATAAAGTGAAAAAGAATAATCTCACCATCAAATTTCTTTCTTATTATATTCATCCAATATAGAAAAGAATTTTAAAAATAATATAATTTCAGGAAACACATTTGGGAGAGGCGTATTAAACTAATAACCCCAAATTTGCGCCAACCTGTCACTTCTCTCCTGTGTCCACGCTGGAGTTAAACAGACCGACTGGACTCCCAATTTCCCACCAGGTACTCTCATATACCTGGAGGCAGTAACGAGAGTTATACTAACAGCTACAAAGAAACCAACCAGACTAGAAAGAATGTCTTCTAAAGCCAAACATATACACCTCCTTGAAATGATAAACCACAACATTAACGGAAGCAAAAGCCGTAAGAACATTTTCAAACATGCTATAATCAATACCCATCTCCACCACCTCACAGCCTTTCTTGGCAATCAAAATATCATTTGACAAAAAGAGAAAACCAATAAACACACATCTTGACACAGGTATGGGATCACTCAATTGTCTGCATACAGAATACACATTTCATATTTATCGGTTCTAAAGCAGCCTGAATTGGGTTCTTCCTATGAAAATAGACCTTACCTCTTCATTTACTAAAGAAAGGCAACAAATACCATATTTTTCTCTAACATGTTTCAAATCGAAGCAGAGCTGATATTCAACCATATCGGTAAATCCTTAACCATTTCATTAGCATGACCTCAATCTGGTGACCTCGCCTATTTTAAAGAACACAATCACTATTCTTGGCATGCCGACACCTACAAAGGTATCAGAGAAGAGCAGAGTTATAGTTACCTTTGAACTTGTGGAACACAGCCCACAGCTCCGCAATGTCGGTTGCGAAGGTGATGTCCGTGTCAAGGACGATGACTCTCTCTAGGTTGGCAGGAAGAGTCTTGGTCAGGACCAGCTTCATCAGACCATAAATCCCAGAGTAATGTTTGTTGGGGATCCAGGAAACTTCAGACTAGACAGGACAGGGCAGAGAGGGAGTTGGAGAAAGGAAAAAAAAAAAATCACTATGTTAATTCTTTACATAAATATTAAAAATGGTGGCTGGGAATAAAAAGTATCCAATAAAAATCTGAATAAATGAATTAATTTTTTAAAAAGATTTGTTTATGTAATTTATATTTTGGCACATGAAGTTTTTTTTTTGGAAGAAAATGTATCTGAAACAAGCAAGAGAAAAAGTAATAGTTCTAAAACAATTACTACATGCAAACCCTATGCTGAGATTTTTAATAAAATTTTGTTATTAAAGAAATTATAAAGGTCCACTGAAGAAAATAAGGATATGAAAAAAGAAGGCATAAAGGTACAAAAATTGCATCGTACTATATATACTTTTTGTAAGTAGTACCTAATTGTTCCTAGGTAAGTATATTTCTTTAAATCATATTCCATTTCTGTGTCATTAAAGATTAGTGCACAATGGTATTGTTCAAGCTTATGCTTATTTTTTTAAAGCTGTGATTGAATAGATTAGTATTGCTACCTTCTCTTTATTCTCAGATAAACCCACAAGGAGGACCTGGGTCATAATCTATGCAACATTCTTCACCTTGACAGCAATGGACGACACACACACACACACGGCCAGAAAGGAGTAACCCACGGGGTGCTGACACTGTAATCTCACATGATGTAATGGAACAATCAATGTCCCACAGGTGGGTAGAGTCGTTAGCAAGCCACACACCTTGGCACCATTCGGTATAAAATGGCAAGGCTAAAAATAAAACGTAACACCAGCATAACAAAAGCTTTCCTATGTGCAAGATCATTTATGAAGATCGCCACGGGCAGGGGCCCCATCCTAGCTGCTGTGGGGAGTTCCCACGGGATCCAAAGCACACTTCTTATTTTCAAGAGGTTAACACTTATAGCAGAGCTCTTTAATGGGAAATATGGCCACTTTATCAGGATTACAAAAATATTCATCTCTTTTGTTCTTATAATTCCACGTTGAGGACACTGTTTTATTTTAAAGTCAAATCTAAAAACAAAAAATTGGAGGGGACGGGCATATACACAAACAATGAGTGCGATGCGCGCCTCCCGGGGAATGGACACACTTGAAGCTCGGACTTGGTGGGGGGAGGGAGGGCAAGGGCATCACACATAACCTAATCATCTGTACCCCCATAATATGCTGAAATAAAAAAGGAAAAAAAATTGAAATTTTATTCCCAAAGATGTTTATCACCATGTTATAAAAGTAAAGAAATCACAACCAAATGCCCCAAATTGAACTATTAATTAAATCATAATACATTTTTTTCTGATAGCATACTATGTAATGGCTCAACACAATGTAGATTAAGATGTAATTAAAAAAAAACTTGCATATGATGTTAAGAGGAAAAAAGTAAGCTTAAAATTGCTTTTGTTTAAAAACCACTATGTGTCACAAGACAGCATGAGGACACATTCACTAGAATTTATGCAGGGGAAGAAGAAATGGAAGCAAGATATCGGATTACTAATAGTGATCATTTGGGACTGATGGGAGTTTCTCTCTTTCTCTGTGAACACAAATATTTATGTGTATATACACACACACACACATAAATTTAACTGATACACTCTTTCCAACTTTTTAAAATGAGCAACTACTACTACTGTAAAAAAAAAAAAAAAAAAAAAAACTAGGCACCACATTCTTTGCAAACATACCATGATCTGGTTGGTGTGGTGACGGTGGAGAAACAGGAGCCCAGGAGGGGTGTAGGATGCGACGCGGAAGGACTCCCCATGCCCGCGCCTGCGACCTGCTCCGTCTCTCAAACCCACTCCATGTGATGCTTTCACCTGCAGGTTTATCTGGGAACCTCGTTTAGCTACTCCGTATTCTCGGTTTTGCAAAGGTCCTTTGCTTACGTGAGCACAGTTTTGACCAAAAAAGAAAAAGGAAACACAGGGATGGACGGAACCATTCACCCTGTGTGAGTATCAAGGACGAGAATCACCATGTCTGGAGTCCCTGTCACCCTGTACCCAGGCAGCATGGAGGAGGGAAAAGGGACAGGAGCTCAAAGCTAGACTCCAGAGTTTGATCTCTCTGAGCCTCGGTTTCTTTACCTGTAAAACAGAGATGATGCCTGTATCACAGGGTTGGTGCAGAAATTAAAGGAGTGCAGGACTCAGGAGCCTGGTACACAAAGTACACTCAGCAAACAGAAGCCCCCACCTTATTCCAAATATTTCCATACTGATGTTTCTTTTAATGCTGCATACTGAATGCGGGGGTCTATGGGACATAGGAGAGCACAGGACCTTGGGTTCTGGAGTCGGACACACCTGAATTCAGATTCCAGTATCGTCACTTAATTGCCAGTCACCTTGGACAGGTTTGCTCGGCCTTTCTGAGCTTCTGCCATTTGTAAATGGCAGTTACTTACATGTGCTTACTTCATCGTATCACTGAGGATGTGGGCGGGATCAGAGAGCACACTCACACTGGGGAGTCTAAGGAAAGGAAAGGAGTCTAAAGGGACTATTTATGTAAGTGTATGCAGAATTAGGGGCAGTAACGTAGACCGTGCGGTTACTCAGGGAGGCGGAGAGTACTTGGGGCCATTACCACCCCTAGGCCAGAAGGGCCAAGGCCATAGCTGTTGGAAACCAGAGGGGGTGGCCATGTGAATAAGGCCACCTAGCAGGGGCAGCAACCTTCAGTCGAGCAGCACAGGCAACCCGTGGCAACCCACAGGATAGAACAGGGAAAAAAATCTCAACCTCACTCTGCTCCTGCCCACCGATCTCCTGGTAGGGTGTCCCTCTAGCCAACCCATATGGAAGCCACAGGGAAAGTGAGATGGGGGACAAGATCTCTACGTGTCAGCCTCATGGGGCACAAAGAGGAGGAGAAGGGCGAGAGATCTGGAGGGATAAACCTAATATAACCAGCAGAGTCCAACTGTTGACACAGGACAGAAATTAAACAAATGATGGCAAGATCAAAGCACAATGCCTTATACATACTAGGTGCAAAACACATATCTGGGATAGATGGACAGACGGACGGACTGAGTAACCAATGGCAGGCAGGCAGAGGAAGGAGACTGATTTGTCTACCATCCCACACCAGGCAAGATGCAAAGCTATCAACAGAATCTGCCAGGGGAAGGTTTGTATTCTTTCCCCAAACGCATTCTCCTTCTTTTGGAGTCAGCTTCCTGACTAGCTGTCACCTTCAGATCTGAGGACTTAGCGAGTAATTCCCTCCAGTGTACATTATAAAACTCTTCCTCATGAAAGCACTGGCCTTTGGAACTCAGCTCGGTTTCTTCTCTCCCCGGACAATTTGCCTGAACTGAAGCTTGGCAATCATCAGGCCATGCTGCAGAGCCGTGCTATTTAATCAGACCTTTGATTAACTTACTAATCTATTTTGGTTACCATCAAAGCAGGAGAGCTTGGTGGAGATCGAACACCAGAGTGTTGGGTTAAGCCGTCTAATTAGATTGCCCTGACTCTCAGCTTTATTTTTAACACGCATGTGAGGCTCTCAGATGCATCGCAGAACAGGAAGACTACAAGAATAAATTAATCTCAACATGAGCCCAGGCCTGAATGTCACTCCAGGTCCCCAACTTAATACATAATCAAGTAAGCCCAAATGTTCAATCAGAAGTGAAGGAGGCATTCGGATGAGTTTGTATTCAGAAAGAAAGCCACAGAAAGGGTGGAAAACTAAGGAATCTGGGGGAAAGCACTTGTGGTAAGAAACAGGTATGCCTATTATATAATAAAAGGCTCATCCTCTCAGAGGTAGTGTGACATCTGGCATGTTTGTCCTCTTCCTCTCTCCACACTCTGCTCTTCCTGCAAGTCTCAGCTTAGAAGTCACTGCCCCCGTCACCACCTCCCCACTGCCCCAGGCTGGGTTAGGCTCCAAAAACAAGCTGTTCCCTCCCTCTAGCACAGCAGGGTACCACACTGTGTTTAACTTTCCATGTCTCTCTCCTGCGCTTGACTGCAACTCCCTTAGGCAGGGATGATTTCTTTATTTTACTGTGGCAACAACATAGTAATTACTCAAAAATAGTTTGATGAATGTGCATGACCATGAAGTCAGCCAGGCCTAGGTTCAAATCCTACCCTTGACATTTTTCTCACCTAGGAGCAGAAGTGTCCATAATTGCTAACGTCCCGGGTCAGTAGAGTACAATGGAGGAGGCGTGGTTTGGCTTTAGAACTGATTCCACTTCTAATGAGCTGTGTGACCTTAGGAAAGTCACTTAAACTTCCATGAGCCTTAGTTTTCTCATCTGCAAAATGGGGGCTTATAGTATGCAGTTCACGGTATTGCAGGGAGGATTGCACGCATCTGGCTTCATGCTGGGTGCACAGTGGGCCTCTGCTAAGCCCACTTCTCTCTTCCCAGTGAACGTCTGTCAGCACCGTCACAGGTCAGATGATTTAGGTTTTTGAGCTTGGTAAAAGCAGGGAATTATGTAACCTTTGACAGTAAAGGGGAAGTCAGGAATAGAGATGGTTTTATCAGGGGAAATAAGTCACTTATCACTTTTCCTATGTTCCTATACGAAAGATTAGCAAAATCACTAACTGAAATCTGGAAAATGCAAAGCCCCTCCAATAGATATCCAAATCACACAGCACATTCTTGGTTTGAGGAGGAGGAAAGGTCAGTGGGAGTGGTCACCCATGCAACCTCTTGAGTCGGTCTCTTGATGCCATCTCACTCCCACCCTGCCGCAGACTTCAGTCCAACAGGGACGTAAGGGCATGGGGTGAATGGAGAGAAGAACATCCTCAGAGGAAAGCTGAGCAAACCTGCAGGGCACCATGCAGATTTACCCAAGAGTGTCCTATAGAGACGACAACACCTGGCAGAGCAATATCCTACCATGCTCTTCATCATTATAAACGTGCCAGAGGGTTCACGTAATTAAAACGATCATAAAAATGAAAGTTGGGCTTATTTTAATGGACAGACTA